GACACTTGATGGTTTGGATACTGGACAATGTTGTGGTCAATCTTATGATAACAGATCTAATATGGCCAGGGCACTTGATGGTTCTGTAATCCTGGCTTGTACTCAAGCCAGGATTGCAGAAATGAATAAGCTGGCCGAATTTGTGCCATGTTTGGCTACCTCTTTGAATCTTGTCTGTGTGCATTCTGCTTCATCGTGCCCTGAAGCAGCTAACCTATTTGGAATTATCCAGAAGATATTTAAGTTTTTAGTCAGATTTACTATTCAAAGGGATATTACAAAAAAATGTACAAAAGCCAACTTGAAAGGAAGCAGTCAGATGAGATAGTCGGCAAAACATGTGGCTGTGAAAGCCCATCTAACGAATTTACCAGACATAGTAAAATCCTTGAAAGAAATTAAAGGTCTCTGTCTTAGTGTGGAATCAAAGTACAAATCACGACATTTGCTACATGTTGTAGAAAATTTTGAATTTATTATGAACCTGACAATTTGGGCTAATGTTTTCAGAGAACTCAATCAAATAAATATTGGATTTCATAAGGGAGTTATTATTCTTGTGCATTCCATTGCATTAACAGGAGGTCTGACCAAAACTTTGCAAAAAATGAGAGAAATTCCTATGTAATATTCGATAGAAGAGTCTAAAACAGTAGCCGAAGAAAATTGAAGTTGAACCTATTCTGATAAATAAACCGAATTCTGAAGCACAAAAAGCAATTTGATGAATTATGAGAGGACAAATCATGAACACTTCATCATGTTCAACTATTTTCTAATGCAATAAAATTTGTATTTGATCAAATCTTATCAGAAATTAAAAACATGCTACTACACTTAATTCAAATTTCACATTTCTCAATGGTCATGAAATACTGAATATGTCAACTGAAGAACTGCAAAAGAATGGAGCAGATCATGCTCGAAAATATGAGCGAGATCTAAATGCATTTGAGTTCTGCCAGGAACTTGCTGTTTTTCACCGCTTGCCTGATTATCCCGAGTTATCTCGGGTTCTTTTATATTGCAGTTAATTATTATTCGAGAAAACTTGGGCGAAGCAGAATTTGTTAGTATGATTTCTTTTATCACGGTTTTACTTGGTCTGGAGGAAATGAAAGGAAATATTCAGCTTTGATTGGCAGTTTGCCAAATTTTGTTGGTTGCGTGGTTCTTTTGGAGGGACTGGTCGCGTGTTTCCCTATTGTATAATATACGTTGGCTTGTGGATTAGTAATGTATAAAGAAGGATGCATGCGTTGGAAAAAAATAAAATAATGGCGATGATGGAAGATAGCGAAAGCGATGATTTTTCAGATAGTGATTATGAAAAGGTGGGGGGGGGAGAGAAAATCAAATCCAACGAGACAATGTATTCTGTGCTCCCGTGAAAGAGTTTCCAGCGGTAAGCCAGTAAGAAAAAGAGACCAGATACCAGTGTAGAATGTCAGGTATCACTCTGTGTTGTCCCTTGTTTCAAAAACTATCATACAAAGATTAATATTTAACTTTTTTTCGTTTGCCCGAGATAACTCGGGATAGTAAACTAATATTAAAAATAAATGCTTTTACACCTTCAAAAAATTAAAAATTCAACTTAAAATCTATATTTTGATTTGTTTCGTTTTGTTGTATTTAATAAGAAAATTTAAAAAAAAATGTGATGATTTTTGCAATTTTTTCAAAAAAATTTCTAAGGGAAGCGGTTAAGGAACAACCAGGTTATTCGGCGACATAAAAAAGGCTATTGCTTTCTATCTCTTGCAACAGATCTACACCTATGATTTCCAGGATGGATTTTGCAATATTTGTATTGTGCTCCAGATTTTCTCTACGCTTCCAAATGCATCCGCAAGCTGTGAGTGAAGTTTTAGCAAATTAAAACTTATTAAAAACTATCTAACTATCTGCAATCATCGAAGAGCCAGGAGCATTTATCAATTCTGGGAATTCAAGGTCTCAAAATTCTGGGAATCTAAAATCAAACAGCATATCAAAATAATTATAATGACACCATAGACATATCTGCAGAACAAAAGGCTAGAGGAGTAAAATTTTAATCCCATAATATTTTAAGAGCGTCAGGTAAGAACTTAAAATGATTAATGAAATAAGAATTATGAAAAGAAATACAAATACTAACCTTTTCCTTTCAGCAGTAACCTGCATTGTTGTTATGTACAGCTAATGAAATGTTACGCTAATGGAAGTTAGTTACGTAATTAATCAGCTAATCTATTGTTCCAACTTATGTAATTTATTGTTTGTAAATAAACATTATTTTTATTCCGGGTGCATATTTGATTGAATATTAGGTCTTACTTATTTAAGTATTTTATTGAAAAAAGGGATGCAATTATTTGTTTTATTAGCAATTTTTAACTTCTATATATTCGTTTAAACTGTTATTAGTAGTGTGCCATTTCTATTTTTTGTACTATGCTGAACTGCTTTAGTATTTAGTACTGAATTATTTCCCATTGGTATGCCTAGTTATTAGGGCAAATATTGCAAAACTACATATTTCAGAGAAAATGTACATTACATTATTATTACAGGGCAAAAAATAGTCTTTTGTGTGAATATATAAATATGAGGATGATAGTTATATATGAGGATGATAGTAGAGTTCTTGAGTAGTCTACATAAAGGTGTTAAAGTGAAATGAAATTTTAAAGTGCCATGTTAAAGCTCCTGTTAATTTAAAGAATTTGGTGTTTTAATTATTGAATCCATTTCATTTGGGATTTGTAACTTGCATATATTTGTTTAAGAAATTAATTAGCAATGCATCATTTCTATTTCTTTGTACTATGCTAAACTGCTTTAGTACCGTATTTGCCGACGTATAAGACGCACCCCCCTTTTATACACATTTTTGAAGGATGAAATTTTATTACTGATCATTATAATGAATTTACAGTATTTCAAATACAAAGAGACACAAATACAAAGCAGTATTTTCTGCAAATACCCAATCTGTCTGGGCAGGAACACCTTTTAATCTTCTTTGTCAAAACATAAGACACTCATCTCCAGAGCTAAATTAAGAGTCACTTCTTTTAAATCAGCATATGAGGACTCAGATAACAAATTGCCCTCTCTATACCATCCAGTGCATTACTACCTCTTCCTGATTCTGCCAAGTTCTTATTTTTTTTTTTTTTTTTTTTCAAAATGCCTGTCTGCAGCCCTGTTTCCATGCATGCACAATCACACGTAGCTCGTATGCTATGTTATAGTACTGTCAATGTTGTTTTTGAGCCATAACTTGCGAACAAATTTAAGAAAAACTAAACAATTTCCCACACTTAAAATTCGTTCAAGAAAATTGGAAAACTTAAATGAACCCAGCTGTGATCCTCGATGACAGCACGTGTGCATTCACTACATTCTACGTAACTGTAATATTCCCGCACTCTGCAAGGAAACAAGAAAAAAATTTGCAAATGCAGAATGAAGTGAATATCGGCATATAAGATGCACCCCATTTTTCAGACCCATTTTCAAAGAAAAAAGTGCATCTTATACACCAGCAAATATGGTATTTAGTACTGAATCATTTTCCATTAGTTTGGCTAGTTATTGTTGCAAATCTTGCAAAATTGCGTATTTCTGAGAAAATGTAAATTGGATTATTACAGTGCAAAAATAGTCTTTTGTGTGAATATGTAAATATTTATTAGGTTATCGAGCTGTATGAGGACGATAGCAGAGTTCTTGAGTATGCTACATTAAAGGCGTTATTTTGAAATGAATTTTTAACATGCTAGGTTCAAGTTACCGTTAGTATACAGGAACTGGTATAAAATTACTCAAGCCATTGCATAAGTGATTTGTAATTTGCTTATATTTGTTTAAATGAAATTTTTATTGTTTAGCAATGTGCGATTCACATTTTTGTACTTTGTTGAACTATTTTAGAGCTGAATCGTTTTCTAAGTATCATTTATTAGTATGAGTAGTTATTGTTGCAAATATATATATATAAAAAAAAAAAAAATGCCTATTTCAGGGAAAATGTAAATTTGATTATTTCATTGCACTAGAGAAGCAACTGCATTAAGAGAGTTCGCACAGGTTTTTAAGTATGTAACTTTTGTTACACATGTCGGCCACCAGCAGCTGAAGGTAAAGTCTGAACACTTGGTAGTTCAGTCGGGAGGGGGGGGGGTAGAATCCCAGTGAATTAGCTGACTGCTGCATAGGCATTTCTATCATTTTGCTCATGCACAACTTGCATACAAGCCAATTACTCTTAGACAGTCCTCACCAAAAGCCCCTCTCCTCTTAGGCAGATAGCCCTTTTATGCTTTGCCATAAGTAAAGAAACTAAAACATTTGTTATGTATATTTCTTTTATAACAAAAATAGCATATAAAGAATTTCTTACTATAAAATGGATTTTACATTTTATCTCAAACCTTACCTATTTTTATGTTTATTAAAAAAATTAAAATTTGTTAGAGAAACTTAAATGAAGATTTTGGCAAGTTTTTGCCCCACTTGGGAAAATGCTAAATCCGGCACTACTGAAATTATTCCATTTTAAAATTAGATAAAATTAAATCTTTAATTGATACTGACTTTAATTAAACACTCTATGCATTCTAAGAAATGATCTGATATACTCTCTCTCTTTTCAAGCAGAAGTATTGTTAAATTTTCGTTTACCCAAACTATAATACCTTAAAATGATCCATGCTTGCAAAATTTTCAAGATAAGCTTTCGGCATAGTTTATGTAGTTGATACATTTTCAAAACAGCTTTGCAAGACTAATAAAACCTTAGCACTAATTTTAGCATTTATCTTTGTAAACAGAAAACAAAATGCAACACAAAATTTTATAACAATTATCATTATTAAATATATTTCAAAATGTTAATTGGTTATGTCAACAGATTTTTAAAAATTCTTCAAGCTTTCTTCCTGTGAAAGATAATATCTATCATGGCAGAAAAAAAAAGAAAAAAACTCGGATATAAAACACAGACTTACCATGCTCTGTCAATAACATATTCTACACTGCGATGTGGATTAGAACATCGATAGGCATCAATAGAATTTTTTCCAGAAGTGGCCTCTTTGCAATCATTGCTATTGCATTCAATGCTTCTTTCGTGAGAGCAACGCTTCCTCTTGCCACAAGATGCAGCAGTAAAGTTTCTACATATATTTTCCATCTCGGCAGAAAGTTGAGACACAGAAAGTTTTGAAAGTTTTGAAGATTTAATGGAATGCTTTGAAATTTTTGAAGATTTTATATTGCAAAGGCGTTTATGCTTTTGAGAAAATAAAGAAACATTTGATAAGCACTGAAATTCATGATCTGCTGTAGAAGGTGGATCAACAGTCATTCTTTTAAATTTTCGCTTTCTTCTAGGTTCTCTAGATGACTGAAAATTTTCATTGACAGAATCAGATTCACCCATGCTAGTAGCACAGTGTCTCCATGATGATAAATGACAGTTATGTTTGTTTACTTTAGAAATTATTTCATCAGAATCACTCCACTGGCGAGCGATGTGCATTGAAATTTCCATTTGTTGTGGCACCTGATTATCTAAGCTAGAATCAGAATCTTCACTAACAGCACTAGACTTAGGTACACTGCTGCCTAAAGCAATTAAACAACACTTAGGTTTCGAGCGGCACTTCCAAGTTTTTCCTTTCTTAACCTTATTGCAGGAAAGAAGATCAGATGTTCCATCTAAAGCATTGCTTAAATCTTGAGCAAGCTGATCCATATTAATGACATCATACAGAATAATAAAAAAAAATTGCTTAACTCCTTGGTGTACAATACTGTTCATGCAGAAATTCTGAAAAACAGACAAAAAAATCTATAAATATAATGTGTATCCTGAAAATAACGATGAATACTTTCTCATACAACACATAAAATTGAATTACAAAAACTGAACAAATACTATTCAAAATTAAAATAACATTTAAAAAAGATTCCTTGATATTCTGAAATTCAGACACAAGGCCTCAGCACGAAATTATAAAAAATCCTACCTGTATAAGCTAAATATAATATGCTTCTAAAGTTTAGAAACTTAAAGCATATCAGAATAGGAAAAAACTTGTACTCTCTGATTAACTGCCTAGCACTCCCACACCAATCGTTGGCTACTAATTTTTTGGCAACTTAACATGTGAAAACACTGGCAATTTTAAAAAAGCAGTGCCGCACTAAAAATTCCATAAAACAGCAGCAAATTAACAAAATTAAAAATGCAAGAATCATCCATAAAACACTTTACTTGTCTTTTTTTTTTCCAGTCTTCTGCCTACGTACGCAGCAATGTTTTAAAAGAAATCAGATAACTGCCAAATTCTCGGCATTCCTGAGCAACTTGGCATTATTCTCCATTTACAGGCCAACCTGTTTTAACTTAAAAAAAAAAAAAAAAAAAAAGTTGTACTGCAGAATTCCCAGTATCAAAGAGCAACTTGGCACTGATTCAAAATTCTGCAAAAGCTATGTACTCTTTCTTGCATTATCTGCCCGACCTTGATACGAAATACAGAACAAAATACTATGTCACCAAAAATTGGCAAACCAGAATTTTATGAAAATATATTTTATCTGGCAATTCACTAATGGTAGCTTGCAAACTCCCCCAGCTTACAATGCAAGCAATTTTTGATTCGAGGATTATGATTGTGAATTCTGCTTGTGAGTAGTGTGCGCAGGTTTTTTCCCTTGTAAACAAACTGTAATATCATTGTGGAGTTTGCCTCCTAATGAAAAAAAAAGGTGTTGAATTTTTTCAGAAATATGCCATTTTGCCAAGTAACAGAGAGTATAGGAATGTGTATTCCATGAAGTTGTATTTTACAAGCAATCGAGCTGTATAGAAAAGTACTCATAAAAATTGACAGGAAAGTGCTCAAATGCAAATAGGAAATTGGTTTAAAGATAGTCGAGTACCATTTACCACAGATGTTTGTTTTCTATATTACTAGTCTAAAGAATATACTTCTAGAAAATTTTGAGAAGAAATTGACATGTCTCCAAATAAAACTACTGATTGCAGCAGTTATCTGGAAGAAGTGTGTATACCTAGTATCTACATTCTTTTATACTACTATTATTTCTACTATTACTACTATTATACTACTTATTTACTACTATTATTTCTACATTCTTCTATTTCCATATGAAATAGAAGAATGTAGAAAACTTGGTGGTAGTGGATGTATTATTGAATTAGATGAAAGTTTATTTACAATAAAAAAGAATAATACAAGTAATGTTTTTCTGCAACACTGGATGTTTGGATGGATTAGTAAGGAAACTCTTCCAGAACAGGTTCCTGATCTTGGAGCACCAACAGTAATAAGCAAAATTAATCCTTTCGCCATCCTCTCCTGTCCGCGAAAATTTCTCCCCAGTGGCCGCCTGTTTTTCGTAGCGTGTAATGTTGTTTTCTTTGTACATCATAACTCTCCATACATAACTTTTGTAGTGGATGAATGTCAATGAATATTAAGTAAAATTAAAAGGAAATAAAGCATAATGGAAAAATAATATCTCTGCTTATTTCTAACAGCAGGATAATTTGATAACATCTGTTTCAGGCAGTCCACCCCTCACATTTTGTTGTAATCTTTTACAATTATTGGTTTTCTTACAGTTCTTTTCCGTGTTCAATCATCGCGTTATTATGGACTGTACTCACTAAACGTATATCCTTCTTGTCTTTCCAATTCCCAACCTCATTTTTTTTCTCTTTCTGCAGAGTAGACATTGAAACCATCTCTCACTGTCTTGTATCTGATGTAAAATGGCGCGAGGGGCAAATTCAATTAGAAATAGAATGCCTGATTAATGCTGCCCTTTAGGAGGTATTAGAACAAACAAAAATAAAAACTCAAACAAGTAAACATTTAGAAAGAGTGTTAAACGTTTTAAAATGTAGAAGAACGCTTGTAGTGCGTTACGGCTGTCCTGCGGAAGTTTCACTTGAATGTGCTAGACGCGTTACGGATGATGAAGAGGTTAAAGAGCATATTGCTGAAGGAACTAATGTCTTTTCATACAGCTGGAGAATGAACAATATGCAAGAACTCAAGCGAGCTTGTTATGATCAGTGGAAAGTAAATCATAAGCACAATTTTGTAGATCCCCTAAGTGGCATGCACACACACAATGTGAAGAGATTATAAGGACCTATTAAGTAGAGAATAGGCAGAGGGGGATGGTTAGGCATCACCTACCAAGTTATCTTGGGGAATTTGGAGAAAATGTTTGGAAGGAAAGCAAAAAGACTGCCTTAAAGAGATTGTAAAGCAGATAGCTGAACAGTATTCACCAGATGTAAAAATATAAATATTGTTCTGTGGCAGTCCTCTGGTGTTTCCCTAAGCACATTGGTGTATACATGGAGAGAAGTGTAAGCTGCTCTATGATGATGCAAATTCTGTAATTTTCTGATGACTTTTTAAGTTAAAACCGCTGTATAAGGGTTAAATAGTGGTACTTCAAGTTATTCGGTACAAATTTTTACACGGCTGGTGCTGGACACACACACACACACACACAAAAAAAAAAAAAAAAAAAAAAAGAGAGATAAAAAGCATATACTAAAAATAATATTCTGATAACTCTTATACTCCTATACTGTATGGAGGAGAAGGAACTGTAAGAATGATCTAAACAACTTTACATTTAATCAACTTTCTTAGAATCAATTACCTCAATCAGATGCAAAATCACACCTAATAAAATTTGACCTGGAAAATAAGAATAAATCTGCACTGGTGCTCGAGTAAAAAAGAATGCCATTTCTCAAACAAAACCATTATTTCAATTCACTTAAACTACATATTCTATCAATTACTAAATTAACTCAAGAGCACAAGGTACAGTTTCATTAATTCAAAAACCTCACAAACACCAGAGGAAAAATATTCATTCTACAATCAGTCAGTTCCTCATAAATAATAATAAATTTAAAAAAAAATCAAGAGTTTAAATACATTCTTGGCACCTAAAATCTTTTGAGTTTAACCCCCCCCAAAAAAATCAAATAATTATATTAAGTGGCTAGTACAAATTCTTAGGTTTCTTCCAGAAAAATATGATCAGGTAGTTCAGAACCTTTTGAGGTGGCCAGATGAAAAATTTATATTTAAAAATGTTGAACTGTAAATACTTGCAGAGGGAACACGTCTTAATTTAAGGGATATAGACAGAAAATTCTAATGAGACTATAGAAGTTCAAAGTACTCACTTTGAACCCAAATTTAAGCAGAATAAAGGGTTCAAGTGTTATAAATGTGGCCGTCCAGGTCATATTCAAAAGTACTGTAGAATGAAAGGTAATTTTTCCAGATCACCCTCGCCTGCTTCTTCTGTTTCCTCAGCTGTATCTAGTATAATAAAACATCCCCTAAACGTAAGTCTAAACCCAAGTTATGTAAACCCAAGGTAAAAAAAATTCCCATGTTGAGTCCTTTTTCATAGCTCATGCTAATGTTACCAACTTGGAGGAAAATGATGATAGTTGTATTTTTGATACTGCTGCACCTCATCATTTTTGTAAAAATCGTGAATTGTACGATACTTTTTCTTCTGTGAAGAATGAGAACATGCTAGTAGCTGTTGATGGGACAACTTTTCCAATTATGAATTGGAAAGGCACTGTTAAAATGAAATTTGGGAATAAAATTATTTTGTTTGAAGATGTTTCATACTCATCTGAACTGAGACGAAATTTAATATCTGGACCTAAGATGGATATCAATGGAGCAAGATTTTATGGTAAAAATGGGCAAATTAAAATTACTAACGATGAAAATGAAACCATTTTTAAGGATAAGTTGATAGGAGGTAATTATCACGTATTCCCGAAAATAGTGAAAAAGGGGGGCAAATCTGTGAAATTTGAAGCATCCATAGTTCAACATAACAATAGTGAATTATGGCATGGTCGGTTTGGTCATATAAATTATGGTGCTATTGTCAGGACTAGTAAGAGACATTCAGTTCGAGGTCTTCCTGTGTTAAAGCACTTACCTAATTCGTTTTGTGAACATTGCCAAATCAATAAGCAAAGACGAATTTCCTACAGACCTTTAGAAGGTATTCAAGTGAAGAAACCGCTTGAAAGGGTTTTTTTCTGATGTATGGGGACCTATTAACATTCCAGGTAGGAATAGTGAACGTTATTTCGTTTCCTTTATTGACGAATATTCTCGTTATGTGGTAGTGTACCCCATTGTAGAGAAAAGCCAGGTATTTGAAGTCTTTGAAAGGCATATAGCACGTGCTGAAAGATCTCTGAACCTTAAGTTGAAATACTTTAGAACTGACAATGGACGAGAATATGACAATGAACAATTCAGGACATACTGTAATAAAAATGGAGTAAAGCACGAATTTACAGATATATATATACTCCGGAACAAAATGGAGTTTGTGAGAGATTCAATCAGACAGCTCTCAACAATGTACGTGCAATTTTACATGATAGTGGTATATGGAGTCCTGAATTTTGGTCAGATGCAGTGATGTATTTTGCATATTCATTTAATAGAATTTGTCATAAAGGTCCAAGATAGAACCCCATTCGAATTGTATACTAAGCGAAAACCATCAGTGCGTCACCTTAAGGCATTTGGAACGATTGCCTATGTGGGAATTCCAAAAGCTAAAAGAAACTCTGAGCTTGATCCAAAGGCAACGAAAGGGCCGATTGATTGGATACAGTGTACGAACAAAAGGGTACAAAATTTGGTTGGAAAATGAGCAAAAGGTAGTAGAAACCCTAAATGCTACTTTTAAAGAGTCAATTGGAATGCAGAAAAG